TTAGTTTCTTCACTACAGTGTAATTTGGGAAAATCCTTTCAAGTTGAAGAGAGAGTCACAAGAAATGAAATCAAGAAAACTGTCATTTCTACTGTGTTTAGGAGACAGTGACAATGATGATGGATTTGATTCATGTTTTATGTGAAAGTCTTTGAAAGACAAGAGTTGTGTTCTTTACATGATACATTTCGTATTTCTAGGCCTATAATGGTCATCATCAAGCCTTGGAGGTACTTCTCCAATCTCTGGTGGATCTGGATATTAAGGATGAGAAGGGACGCACTGCTTTGGACCTGGCTGCGTTTAAAGGACATGCAGAGTGTGTGGAAGCTCTCATCAGCCAGGGTGCTTCTGTCACTGTAAAAGACAACGTCACCAAAAGGACCCCCCTCCATGCCTCAGGTGAGTGTGATCTTAAATTACGCTTGTGGTATAAGCCCTACAACACAGAAGCGGTTACCTTTACCTACCTACTATCCACGTGCACTTTTCTTTTAAATGGAAGAAGGAGATTTTGATGTGTGCTGAGGACTCCTGCTTGTTTGCTGAGGTCCTACAATTAGCCCTTTATCTTTCATTTCCTTGCTCTTGTGGTTCAGTCCTCTCTCACACAGAATCCCATCTTTTTCCATGCCACTACTGCTCTGGCCTTACCTGCTTGCCTCTACTTTACCATACCTCTCTAGTACCACCTACTTTTTGTGATGTTTCCCCTGTGACACCTTCTCTTAATGGTTCCTGAGCCAAAAAATCAGGGGAAGAGAGAACACTTGCCTCACTGCTTCTCATATGGAAGGAAGGGTTGAAAATACAGGTAGGCTGTTATTGGTGATGAAATTATCCTGGTGTTCAAAACTTTCAACCTTTTGCAGTGGTAACGCTACAGAAATTCACCCTCTTCCGGACGTTATCCTTCTCCTGAGCTAGCTTGTGAACTTGCTCTTGCTGGGACTTTGCTCCATTCCTCATGTGTTGACTCTTAATTATGCAATGTGTATAATTAACTGGAAAATGTAGAATTTGCCATTTATTTAAAGATTATTATTTAATATGTACCTGTCAGATAAATACACAAGGATGCCAAAGGGAACGTTGTTCCTCTGTTCATCGCGGGGCTCAGTACAGCAGAGCAGTGACCTCTAGTGGAAAGTAAAATTAATACTTCATTGGGTAACAATTCTTTTCAGCGCCAGACTTAATTGTCTTTCTGTTTATCTTTTAATCTTGCTTAGATTAAAATGCATATACATCCTCTAATACCAGTTTCTTCCTATGTGTGATCATAGAAGTGCAACCTAGAATCATTAAGGTCAAATAGAGTATTATCAATTTTGTCTGCAGTACTGAAGAAAATGCGCGTAATAGATCTTCAGAGCATACTAAAAATGCTTTCTGCCTTTTTAAATTTTGCATCAGAACTGAGTACGTTACTCCCCACAATAAATTAATGATATAGAGATGTGCTGCCAGAGTTTACATGTCAGAAGTTCAATACCAGAATTCAGTGAGAGGGGGTGTTAGTTGTTTTTGATAAAAACACAAATTAATAAATCCAGCTGATCCTCATCCTGTTAAAACTGTTTGTTTAATTTAAATCAAGATCAGTGCTGCCACAAAACTGGCCATCTGTTGGTCAAGAGCTTTCCTATAGTCACTTCAGACATTGCTTGATGATGAACGAGTGTGACTTTGCCTGGTACATCAGCACTATAGCAATGATTTTGCACTTACTTAAAAATTTGGTTATAGTGACATAGGTTTCTTGTTGTCACAGCTGAATTGCAAGGGTTCCGCAGTACTGAGAAAAGTAAATGGTAACAAAGCCATATTTTTGTTAGCAGCAAATACGAATTTGTTGAATAGATCTGTTGAATAGATTTGAGTAGATCTGTTGAATAGAAAGTGTTATTTTAATGCACACATTTCTTACCTTTGTACAAATTCTGACTGGGGGGGATGTTCCTATTTTAATTTTTTTTTGATCACCCCCACCACTGCAATATGAGTGCCTTCCATGTAAAACCAGTAGGAAGATTCATTGTAGACTTTTCTGGTCTGTGATACTTTTTGCTTCTCAGATTAAAAAAAAAATAATTCCAGGAATACGAGCAAAATGTTCTTTAAATCTGCAGAGAAGCAAAATAAGTTATCTGTGCATTAAAAAAAAAAAAAGGCAAGAAAATCCTACAGACAGGAATGAGACACTAAAGAGAACATGTACCTTAAGCAGAAGGGAAACTACTGCACAGACAGGATGAACATTTGAACTCTTAGTAAAGGAAATTTATCACTGTCATGAATTTGGAGGCTTTCAAATGTGAGATAAGTGCACTTTGGGTAAATATCCATTAAGGCAATGTTTAGAACCTTCCATTCAAGAGCTATGCAGAGTTCTGTGGAAATTAGCTCGGGAGTAAAGCTTCTATCTCCAACTATTATAAAAAGCCACTTGCAATCTGATGCTTTTTATTACGCTGTTTCATAACAATACATTTTGTGTAGGAGTGTTTTAGCAAAGAATGATGCCACCTCTCGGAAACTCTGCGTGATGCCACTGCAGCATTCAGCAGTTTTTATTTGCAATGCAAGCGTAAGAGGTAAATTGGCATATTTTGAGAAATCAAACAGAATTCTTGCTTGAGTGACAGTACACGTTTGCACATGCAAAAGTGCAATACTGTGCACTGGAAAGAAAGAAAGAAGGCATGTGTGTCCATCCCGTTAAACATATTTGCCTTCATTCCTTCTAATGACACAAGCACAGCTGCTGAACACAAGGGTTAGGGAGGCCTGAAGTGGTGGGTTGGATTACAGGATTCTGCAGAGCTCTGTTCAGTAAAGGGATTTGTAACTTTAGTAGAGAAATCACCTAATGAAGTATTTCTTTTTTCTGTCTGTCCCCCTCAGGGAATAGACTTCCTCTGACCTCATAATATGGAGAATTTCCTTAGCCTAAATTATATGTTCCCTGTATAATTTTATTACCACCAGTCTTTCCTCTGGCTAGCTTAGGGAATCCATTGCAATGTTCCCCTAGTGTTAGTGTTGTAGCTCTGTTGGCAAAACTGACGTTCCCTGCAGGGTCTGTAATGCTTAGCAATCGCTGGGTCAGCTCCTGAGAGTTTCTGGGAGTATCTGTTCTAAAATTCATTTACCAAAATCCTTTTCAGACATCTGGGTGAACAAGTTCTGATTTCTCTTCCTCCTGCTGGGAGAAAGAACAGATCTTTTTTTTTTTTTTTTTCTCTCCTTCCCTCAGCCCGTGACTCATCAGCCCTGCAGAACTGTTTACTTGTTATGTATATGGCATTACTTAGTGGTCAATAACTAAAAATGTCTTTTATTTTTCTGGGTAGAGCAAATAAGATTATTTTTGGATGAGTGATTTAAATGTGATGATGTGCGCCCGTTTCTTTGCCAGAATGATGTGACATAGGTGGTGTCCAAGGGTTTTGCCTCAGCCCACAGGGCGTGGGCAGTGCGAATGCATGACTTGCTGCAGTAAGAACACAATCTATATCTACTGACTACAGGAATCCTTGTTTTTCAAAGAAGAAAATACTGTTCTCTTCAGCCCATGAAAGCCTGAAGCCTTTAAACCAGCTGACACACAAATGGGTTTCCAATGTCAGTAACTCGGAGCTGCTTTCCAACAGCAGTGGGTTACATTTTAAAAACTAAACCCTGTTTTTGAGGCGTAGCTGTACCTTCCAATAATGTTAAACAAGGAAAAGATGGAAAAACCCAAAGGGAATGTTAGTCTCCGGTGTTATGTGCCATTATGAATATGACATTTCTATTGTTGGTCATTCTTTGCAGCTGCTTCTTTTTTCATAGCAGCACTGACAAACTTGCTTGTACAGTGCAGACAAAATTAACGAGCCTCACCGACGTACTTCCTACTGCATTCCAAATCTGATTGCAGAAAGCCTTGTCTGCCTGCTCGGTCTGAGGGATTTTGAAATGCTGTCTGGTTTAGTAGAAATCTTTTCAGAAGTGAAAATCACAATTTCTGTTTTACTCATTTGGGATTTTTGTATGTAAGAGAACTAATCCTCGTCTGACTGAGGTCAGGGAAAAAACAGCTCACCATTTTGTCGGCACAAGCTAAATGAAAATTGTGAGAATATTGATTTCTTATACTGTGGAATATTTTCATTGTTTATAAGGAAATTTCTTATCCGTAAGCATTCCAATGGAAAAGTATCTGAAATTAAACATGTTTTAATTAAACATACTTTTTTTTTTATAGTCATTAATGGCCATACACCTTGTTTACGGTTGTTGCTAGAAGTTGCAGACAACCCTGACGTGACAGATGCCAAAGGACAGTAAGTTTTCTTTGTGCTGGTTTTTTTTCAGCTCTGTGATTCAAATAGCACCTCAGATTTCTCACAAAAGAAGCATTTATTTGAAATACTGTATTTCCTGCACTTCTCCTTATAGAATTTGGCAGAGATTACAAAGTACACATTCAGTTGATCTAAGCCATGTGGAAAGGATTATTCATTACTCTTAGTCTCTGCTTCATACTTTAAACAATTCTTCATAGATGCTGAGGGCCAGATTCAATAAAAACTAACAAGCGCCCGAGATGTTTCTATAGAGAGTCTTTTTCTTTCTAACACATTGCTATTTTGGGGGTTACTTGGTATATTTAGGCATGCAGTGGAACAGAATGTTTATTTGAGGTGACAGATGCATCTGAGATGTTCCTACAAAAAATTTACTTCTCGTTAAATGACAGAGAGGGAGAATAATGTATATTTTTAAAGCGAAAATGTGAATGGTTTAAAAAACTCATTTGGGGTGCCTGGAACATATCTGACCATATGTATAATTTTAAATGGTATTAGTCTTATCTAAAAACAGAAGGAGAAAAGATCTCTTACAGAAAAAAATGGAAGATATGTTAGTCCAAATTTTGGCTTGAATAGTTTCCTTGTGTCCCTTCATCCCCTTTAAGCAATTGCACAGCATTTGCAAAAGAAATGCTTTGGGTTGTTGTCATCTTGGTAACTAGCAGGGACGTTCATTCACCACGCTTGGGTATTGTAAAGCTCGTGTGACGCTAGAGGTGACAATTGTAGTTTATTAAGAGAACAGATTGTCTTGAATGATGTTGCTCTGTAAACTGCTTAGAAATGAGTTTGTTTCTATTTCAGTCATGGTAGTTTGTTGCTAAACATCTTAATAATTTCATACAAAAGGTCTTCACGTGGTTGTTATATAGATGAGTTGGTGAAAGAAACAGGTTTGTGGGTAGGAAGGGAGAGAAATGCAGGGCTTCCTGATTTCTCTGTTCCTGTAAGTTAACAGTGGCAAGTAGTATGTTGTTTTATAGCTGTGACTGGTTTGGTTTTGTTTTTTCTAGAACCCCCCTAATGCTTGCAGTGGCATATGGGCACATTGATGCTGTTTCTTTATTACTTGAAAAAGAAGCATCTGTAGATGCAGCTGATCTCCTGGGATGCACAGCTTTACATCGAGGGGTGATTTAATTTTTATGATTCTTAATTATTTGTTTTACTGTGACTACAACGCACTTATAAATACAGGGATCTTGAATGCAGGGAATACTGTAAATGATTGGAGACATGAACAAGCACAGTCAATGAGGTAAAAAGCACAACAGATCTGCTCACAGTAATGCTCTGCTTTTGATTTTATTTCACATTCGCTTTAATTAACTAGCTAAAACACTGCTTAGACCATTTTTTCTTGGTTCTAGACACTTTACAGTAGCAATCGTTATTCTTATAACTGAGCACCTTATGAATTCTGAAAATAATTTCTTTAAAAGAAATGCCCAGCAGTTCATCTTTTTTCTTAAACTCCTCCTTGCTTTTGTGCCTCACTTAGTGGAGTCTTTTCCACAGACTAGGAATCAATGCCTTTGAAAGACAGTACCAAATGCATTTCAGTGTATCAGTTATCACAGGTACTCAGGGGAGCAAAGGGGCTTTCATCTCGGCCTCCTGAATCCCATCCAGGCCGTTTCATGTTCACAGGCATCAGTCATATTCCATATTTCCTGGGCAAGAATCTATATGATGTCAACCTCTTTACTCGTTTCTTTGTTATCAGATTATGACTGGGCACGAAGAGTGTGTTCAGATGCTGTTAGAGAAAGAAGTATCTATTTTATGTAAAGACGCCAGAGGCAGAACACCTCTGCACTTTGCAGCAGCTCGGGGTCACGCCACTTGGCTGAGTGAATTACTGCAGATAGCACTTTCAGAGGAAGACTGCAGTTTGAAAGATAATCAAGGTTATACACCGCTGCACTGGGCTTGTTACAACGGTAAGGTGCTCCCTGTGGACTTTTGCCAAGTTCAAATGTGGCCTCAGTTTTAGGGAAATGTGATAACAAAGCAGCCTAACGCTTTGAGAAGCTTGAAGTGAAGAGGCAAATTATCTTCCCTCTGCTTGCTCTCTGTAGTTAGCATTTGCTGTGTTCACCCTTCAGTTGAGAAGCCAGGGAAATTCCAGCAATACCTCCCAGTGGCTTTCCAGCTCATTCGCTCCCAGTCACAGGAGGCCAGGGTGAAATTCTGGTTTTACTGATGTCAGTGATGAAATTGATTTCGGGGGGGCCAGGAATGCTCCTTTGAGGTGTCACCTTCTTATTTATTGATGCAAGAGACCACGTGAATAGATGGATATTCTGAGCTGAACTGATTATTCTAAACTGAATCATCTGAACTTGTTGCTTAATAGAAGGATAAAGCTTCTGAGTATCATCATTTAAGGTCATCTTTGGAGATGTGTAAGGCAACATACATAACATCACATAAAAAGGAGACTTTTTTCCTTTCCTCTTTTTTCAATAAGTGCTAGTATTAGCCTGGTTCTATCTTGCTGCTGCCATAAAACAAACAAACAAACAAAAAATCTGTTTAGCATTTTGTCATGTAAGAGCTTAAATACACATTGTGTTCAACTTTGAAGCTAAAATGTTAAATTCCAATCTGTATAAGCCTAACATGAATTAAGTGAATTACCTGCTTTGTGCAACACTGGGAAACATCTGATCTCTTACAGGTCATGAAAACTGCATAGAGGTACTATTGGAACAAAAATTTTTCCGCAAATTCTATGGTAATAGCTTCTCTCCATTGCACTGTGCTGTGTAAGTAGAAATCTCCAGTAATGAGTGCAGATATGTTGCTTTAGTATATGTCTGGAAAAAGTAGCAGTATGAGAAGAAAGTGCTTTTTTTTTTTTCCCCTCGATTATTTGCATGAGTAAATAATTTTAAAGCTGATCATAAAATTGTGCTTATACTTCTGCTGAAAAAGTGGCAGAATAAAGAGTATTTTTGCATAAATTTCATACATTTAGGCTTTCTGATGAAATACAGTAATTAATTAATTAGTAATGAAATAGCTTCATTTCTGCTCCCTTTCTAGTTTCTTTTCCCTTGCTTACAATTACAGACCTATGCCTTTTCTTCACACAGGGCAGAACTTCATAGCTTTTCTATTGTTAGGCCATGACCTGGGCTATAGTGCCTTGGTCTGTGTAAGTATGAGCTTTTGAGGTTCCTTTGAAACTCAGTGGCTGAAAGTTAATAAATTTGTCAGAATCAAGATGATTCTGATTTTCTTCATGGTCTTTCTTCCTTCTGAGATAATCTCCTGTCTTGAAGGTTTGGTACTTCTTACCCAGGTCCTCACCAAAGAGATTGATCAGCTTAGAGGCAAACTCTGTATCCAAAGTTCTTGTATTACTTATGAATAACAAAAAGATGGTGGCTATTATGAGTTATGCATGTATTTTAAACACATTCCTTATTCAAACAAAGCAGTACTTTTTCATACCAGAAGGATTCTTATAGCATAAAATCATAACTTTTCATAACATAATTGCATTTTACAAAAAATGCAAAATTGCTTTAGTATGTAGGACCTAACATGCTTATTAAAACATGTAAGCCATCAGAAAAGTAAGGAATTAAGCGCTGTGAAGACCAATGCAAGCCTTCCTAGTTCCTGCCAACAATTAGAACAGCTGTATTCTATTCTATGTTCTATTAGAATGAATGTCTTTCAGAAATAATGATAGAAGTTACTATTGTGTAGACTTTCCTTGTACAGTCCACATCAATGGAAAGTAGAAAAGTAATTTGTCTTCTATCAAACTTTGAAACTTCTTTTAAACTAGTGTGGAATTCTCAAACACATAAAAAATGTGTGCAACTTTAAAATGCATGCAAATTTAAAATGAAAACAGCTGCTAATCCAGTGTGGGTGTGTTTTAGCTATGCTATATGTCCAATACTCTTATTAAACACTGTTCATTTTCATAATGAAATGAGACGAATTAACAATAACAGAAAAAGTATAAATTGAGTACATCCATCAAGGAAAAGTATTGAATGTGTGAACTGGAAGAGATGTGGGCTTCAGTACCTTAAACATTAGAATAAAGCTTTCTATATGCAGGTATCTATGACTGCTTTCCAGATCCACGCGTGTTTGACATATAGACTAAAGGATTTTAAGATATTACGGTTTTAATCCTAAGTTTGCGCTCCACTGTCAATTACCTTTGCGCATAGTGAATGCAGGATCAGCTTTGCTTTAGGGACTGATATCCATTGTAGCAGATGCAGTTTGGTTAAATGGAGAGATGATGAATATTCAGAAATGTGAGTGAAAGCATTAAGGCAAAGGTATGTTAGGATAACTTATAAATAGCCAGTAAGAAATGTTAATGGGAAGTGAAGTAAATTAATATTGGAAAGTGGGAAAAGATGTAGGCTTTTTACCTTTTTGAAAATGTCTTTTCTTTGGCAGAATCAATGATCATGAAAACTGTGCATCACTGCTCATCGGAGCCATCGATGCCAGCATTGTCAATTGCGAAGATGACAAAGGAAGGTAATAGTTTCTTAAACAAAATGCATTTCATGAACCTATCTAGTATTTTTTTGTAATTCTTTCTGACCCTCTGGAACTAATCCTTATCTAATATGGTTGAGCTAAGACTTTGTCATGCTGACGCTTTCAGACAGCAGTTTACACTGCAACAAAGAAATGATGGCTCATTTGAAGCAATAATATTATGAAGTATTCAATTTCATAGTACATATGAAAAGAAATACAAAAGAAATAGTATTTTTTATTTGTTTAGAACAGCTATGACTATTGGCTGTTTCCCTGAATCTGTTTTCCTTGTTAAATATTTAAACACATTTGTCTTTGCTAAATGGAGTGATACTATGTAGACATAGAAAAGTATTTCATTAAAAGCTTTAATGTTATGTTAGCATTCCCAGGGCATACAACTGAAAATATCTATGCTGCAAAATAATACTGAGGCACCAAGAGATGCATTCAGCCAAATCCTTAATGTATCATGTTGATAATCTCCTCATCGTATATATTTAATTAAAATTGCTGAAATTCTAAAACCTGAATATTCATTGTTTCTGTTAATTAAAACAAATCCAAGACCTTCATTAATGGTGATTACTTACTCCTGTAAGGGTAAGACCACCTCACCTTTACTGATAGCAAAACCTGAAGTAACACTATGAGCTGGGTTGTGTACCTAATATCCGTCATCTCTAGTAGTCGCGCTTCAGACCCAAAATGCCATAGGGAGACAGCGAACGAATTCAAGCGTCAGTCTTGTGGGAACGGACAACCTTCAAAGTGGATTGAATTCTTTCCGCCTTTTACAGTAATGCTGTTACTGTAGCTTGTTGCTGCAATATCTTTGACTATAACTTAAAATACTTTAGTTTTTTAAATAATAGATCTGTTTTTTTCTGATAGTTCTTCCCATCTTAGGCTTGTTTAAAAAAAATCAGATGAATGAGAGATTGTACTGCTTTTCATATTACGCAGTATACTCCCTTAAAATAAATATGCTGCCAATATGAGATTCTCTACAGCATCGTATCTCCACACTATATTATCCACCTTCTGCTTCTCTTTTGTTAAAGTTTATATTGCACCAGGACAGAGACTGTATCATTTAACTTATTTGAGATGCTGGTACTATAACTTTACCCTGGTGATAACTTTAAGTTTCACGGGAAAGAAGAAAAAAAAAAAAAAGTCTTGCACTTTCAGGTTCTTGGGAGGGTCAGTAAACAGGAATAGTATCATTCTTCAGCAACAGCTATGGTCGTGTTATTTTCCCCGCAGAACGCCCCTTCACGCAGCAGCCTTTGCAGATCACGTGGAGTGCCTCCAGCTCCTCCTGAGTCATAGCGCACAAGTGAATGCTGTGGATCACGCAGGGAAAACACCTCTTATGATGGCAGCTCAAAACGGTCACATAGGTGCTGTAGGTAAGTACATCCTTGCCTCTGTTCATCTTGAAGGGTTAGTGCTACTGCAGTTACTATCCCAAATAAGTAATTGGTTTTTTCCTGTGAAAACTTAGGAAGGAAAATAAATTATGTGGATGTCTGTAAGAAGCTACCTTTACGTCTGTAAAAAATTTCTTCTTCTTCTCAGCCATTGTTTCTCAGCAGTCTTGGTGAACACTTGCAATAACAAACTTGAGTCTTATTTCCTCCTAAGAGCACACTGTAAAGAGCATGAGAGGAGTAGTAATTCTGTTCTGCTGTTTACTTCCTTGATTTTACGGACCAGTAAAACTGCATGTGTGAAAAAGATTGTGTAACCTTTTTTTCCACTCTATTATAGGAAGTTCTACTCTTGAAATGGCAGCTATCGGCAGCTGCTTTTTCCAGGCTAGATTATATACTATAGACATACAGATCATATTGGCTTAGCAGAATTCCCTTTCCTCTAGCTTCAGCAGCACAGACTGCACCCTAAATTCTTTATATCCACTTAGTCCTCTCAAAGCAGGACCCACGGTTGTTCTCAGGAGAAGGTGATTCATGCAGAACTTGCTGATCTGCAAATGAGGAAGTTCATAAATAAATTAAGACTAATACATGTTTACCAGTTTGGGGCACAAAGCATGAGCTATTAGCTCTGCCTTTGCTTGCTGATTAACTGCACAAGATTAGTCTGTTCTCATTCATTATTTTCACTTTGCATTCATAAACTTACATCACATAAAGGCTTAATTGATTAGCTTGCATGCACACGTATATTGAAATAGTCATTTTTTTCCTCTGTTTTTACATGTTCGTCTGCCCATTGGGTACGTTCATTGATTTCTGTTCTATACCTCAGACTTTTTGGTGAACATTGCCAAGGCTGACCTGACATTAAAAGATAAGGAGTTGAATACATCTTTGCACTTGGCTAGCAGTAAAGTAAGTTGAAGACCTCTGTATGCTTCTGTTCTCATCACAGTATGCATGTATAGTATGCATGTATGTGTGTGGTTATGCTCCTGAAATTTTTTCTGCAATGGAAATATGATGGTCAAACTTGTGGTGGGGAAGGAAACATTGTTCCAAGCTTTTTCTCAAGCCTCTCTCAAAGTTTTGTAAATTGAGAAAAACAGATGCCTCTTATGACAACTGAAATGCAAGGAGATAACACTAAGAGAAGTAATAGAAAACCCTTTAAGATTTTACCAAATCATCTCACTGTAAAATAGCTTAGCATAGGTTCAGTGGCAAAGGAAAAAAACCACAACTATTTATTCTTTTTTCTTATTCTCCAATTTCTGTGGAAGTAACACAAGATTTTCTCTTAAGAGAGTAGCAATAAAACCAGAGGCATTTATTAGATTAGTGGTGGTCTCTTTTCCCTCCCTTTCTTCCTCTTATTTCCAATTGGTACTGCTGTTTCTGCAAGAAAAAATGCCCATGGGATTCCCTGTCCTGGGCGTCGTCTTTTGCTCTTACCCACAGATTGGATTCCAGTGTGATAGCAGTACTCCAGTTCCCGCAGACACGTGAGCCTTGCTGAATTCTCGAGGTCCTTCAGGCAGCTGTTCATCTGCCGGGGCTGTAGGCTCAGCACCCGCAACTGGCTGTGCTGAAACAGTGTCAGAAATAAGGCCCAGATCTGTCTTATTTCCAAAGTTCCATTGTTAGAGCTCTCACACTGAAGGGATTTTGTAGTAGCTGATTAATAATACAGAAAGACACTTAAAGACCCAGAAAGTATAGTATTCGTTTCTGAGATTAAACCATCTCTTTCTATATCACTATGTAGTTCTAATAAATAATCCATCGAATGCTCTCTCAAGAGAACTAGTAGCCTTCTCTGAAAGCTGAGATGAATTCATATATAATGAATTGCGGGTTGAAAGACAGGTGAATGTCTAAATTTCTAAATGTGCTAAAGCATCCTAGCAGTTCCGGTTCGTAAATGGTATTTTAAGGCTCCTACAGTTTCACCTACTACACACCCTTATAAACTGAGTAGCATGTTTTGTGTTCCAAATTGAGTTGTTATATTTCACTTTTATATGCAATATTTCTTTTGCCTCAGTTTCAAACTCCTCAGCAAATTAACACTACTTGGTTTTTTTTTTCCCCACTACAGGGTCATGAAAAATGTGCCTTGTTAATACTTGACAAGATACAAGAACAGAGCCTTATTAATGCAAAAAATAATGCGTTGCAGACGTAAGTATAGCCTGATCCTCTCAAGTTCAGTTGACTTACTAGAAGATTCCAATTTAGCATTTCAAATTCATGTCTCGGACTTTTTCATAGAACAAAAAAGTTAATTTCTGATTTTTTTTTTTGAGTGCTTGCCCTTGAAAAGATGAGATTTGTATTGCAGTTTCACTTTTGAGTTTGATTCCTTTAATGCCAATTCTATATGTAGTCTAGTGAAAAAATTATATGAGGCCATTTATTTGAATTCAGACTATGTCAAAAAGTCATGTGAATATGTAAGTCTACATCAGGCACTTCCTAGCTTTCTGAGCTTCACCTTAAATCTAAATAATTTAGACTTAAGGTGGTTCATTTAATTTTCAGAGGTTTTTGAGGTGATATTTTATGTGCAACTCCCATCCATACCATACATTATCTGCAGAGTTTAGAACCATCGATATTCTTACTCCAGCTGCAACTCTTTGACCGGTATGGGGGAATCCCACAGTAGAAGATTCAACCACAAGTTTATGTGGCAGATCATCTAGTGCTTGGGGAAGAACTCACTCTATCTTAGCCCTTTTTTCCCCCTTCCAAGATGAAATTGTTTTTCCTGTCTCAGTAGCTGCCCCCAAACAGGAGCATTGGGTGTTGGCCCCAGAAAGGAGCAAACCAGTGGTTATTTTTAATTTCCAGCTGCTCTGCTGGATCTTCAAGGATGAAAAGGCAATACAATGATTTTGAACAGTCTGTAGTAGCCAGAATTAAGGATGGAACAAAGGCATTTCTTCAGCCTTAGATTCATTTTCCTTTTAAATGTCAGTTGTGTGCTGCTAACAGTAGAGAAATGAGAGCTCTTTAAAGAAAGCCTTTAGACTGGAAAGTATGACGCAATCTTTGCGTATGCAAAGGTAATAATATTTATCTTGCACATATGTTTTATAGATGTGGACATGATGATTATTTTGAAGGCTGTAATATAATTTAATGCCTACAATGTGACTGTAATGATCCAAAGAAGAAGAACATTCCCTTTCAGATGCTGGGTATGCTTTAAGCATCGCCTTTTTTTTAGAAAGTCTATTTTAAACTGAACTTGAATTTCATTGTTATGTTTTTGTAGACCTCTCCATATTGCTGCACGAAACGGCTTAAAGATGGTGGTTGAAGAGTTGCTAGCCAAAGGGGCGTGCGTCCTAGCAGTAGATGAAAATGGTAAGTAAATAATACACTTTGGCAATCTTCAGTAGGACCCAACAGGTAATTTTACAACAGACCGAAGCAGTAGACTTAAAAGCTGATGATAGACATCATTGATGCTTTTATCCTTCCAAGAACAGACAATGAGCTGTGTGAGTACCTATTAAAAAAAAAAAAGATACTATTTATTTTTCTTTAATATAAAAATGTATTCTAAACATCACAGCGGTCCCTTTTACTGTTCATTTTGCATGTACTGTCAAATAGCTAGTCTTTTTTAATGCTTGAGTGCAGTGGTAACTTGAATTTCCTAAACATGCAAGTGGCACCGGATAATTCTGACGCCTTGCAGAAGAATTAAGGATTATGCATTCAATCAGCGCATGTTTTAATGGGTAGGAAGAAAACCATCAACATATGTTTGATTGTGTCCTAGTTCATTCTGAGATCAAAGCTTGTGCTTACCAATTGTCTGACGTAATCCAAGATGCAAGTAAATTACTGTTGCCTCATAAAATACATGATTAGTTAATAAATCTGATAATTTTGTTTCAGATCTCAATGAAGTCCTTCCCTAAACATTATAAAGCCCATAGAGGGCTGTGCTTCTATAATTAATGTTTTCAAAAATGTCTTCCTGAAATAAGCTGGTCTTTCTTACAATACTGACTTCATGGCATTAACGTAACAATTTGGTACCTCCATCTTCCCATATCTGTAAAGTAACAATAATAATACTCACCCATCATTGCAAGACATTTGAGATCTATGGATGAAAAGAACTGAGTGGTGAGTATTCACTATTAACCAAATGCTACCTCGATATACTTGCATGAATGAGTTCCACTGAAGTCATCTGTCCCTAACCTCATTTTAGAGATAGGGGACAGAAAAATGAACCAGACTAGCTTCTAACCACAGGTTTTATCATTAAAATTGTACATATGGATCCAGCTAATTTGCATGTATGTAACAAATTCAAATTAAGTTTAAATTTCATACACATTTAATTTTTCTAGGAGCAACTGCATATGCAGCTTTAAAAGAGAGAAATTTAAGTACAATCTTAGTATAAGTACAACTCTATTCACACTTGGAACTCGGTGGGAGAGGAAATTCCATTTAGGGTACGCATTCACTGCAGTCAGTGCTTAAATGTGGGTAGTTTGCTACGAAACTGTACTTGCATTTGTCCACCAAACTCATCTAACACTGCAGGTGTTCCAGGCTTCCTTGAGGCAGTCAGGTATCAGTAGCGGGCATTGCCTCGGAGCACTATCGCTGCACCACTCCAGATTTAGCCATCCGCAAAAGAATTTAGCATAAAGGAAGATTTGCTGGAAAGTGCTGGAGTACTATACTGCAGCCTGCAAAATGTAGGGATAGCAAGTGTAATCGGCGTATCTTGGTTTCCAAGATTTCTATACGTGAAATGCTGCTTTAGGGGCAGCGCTTGGATGGGAGCCAAGTTAAACTGCAGTGACGACAAACTTCTAATAGCTCCCCAGTTCTTTGTTTTACTGACTTCTGTATAGTATTAACTTTCTATTTGAAGTGTATGCCATGCTTTCTGAATACAGTCATTATTCTAACGTAATGTAAATTTGGGTAACTAAACAGCCACGTAGTCATACCTGCTATACATGTACCACGTGCACTGGTCTAATTCTTTTCTCTTATAATTTAATTCCTAAATAAACTGCTTTCTGAGTTAAGTAGATAGTCAACTGATCAATCTTTAAAACAGTTCATTACTACTTCAAAATATTTCTAAACTAGTATCTTTTACGTTCTAACGAAAGTCGTTGCTCTCAGAATGAGACTTGTTCATACACACAGAAACCGAAGCCGGTTTCTGTCCCTGTTGCTCGACTCCCCACGTTCCATACCCATCATACTGTCTGTGCTGTAGAGCTGTGTTTAGCAAGTGCTTTTATTCATATCGTGAAGTCTGTTTGCTGCCTGATTTAAAAAAAATAGTGCTTGTTGTGGTCACAGTGATTCAAACGCTCCATAAAGTGTGTATTTTCCCAGCATGTCTCATTTAAAATAAGTAACGTACTCCTGTTGCCTGGCATGTTTGTAACTGAACATACATCTCCTGCTTACGACGTCATCTAGAGATGTATATGAGGAATGCTCAGTGCCATTCTCAGTACCCTTCGTACTAACCATTGCCTTGTCTGCATTTGTGCCCAGGTCATACGCCAGCCCTGGCTTGCGCTCCTAACAAAGACGTGGCTGACTGCCTGGCACTCATTTTGGCTACCATGATGCCTTTTTCTCCCTCCAGTTCAATGACGGCTTTCAACTTCGTTTGTTTTAAAAAAGACAATTTGGGCAGGACACATCTCTGCGATGGCTCTTACAATAAGCCCTTGAGTAATAACATAGGAACAGAGGATGGGTACAATGAAAACGATTCAGATTCTGAAACATTTTGACTTTTTGATATTCAAAAACTTTTTTCCATTATTATTTCATTTCAGCTTTATTTTTGTCTTTTTAAACAGCTTAAATCCCATGGCTACATTCTTAACTATTATTCTCGACAAGTAGGTATTGAAAGATTTCTAGTGTTGACGAGAATCAAGCCTTTAAATAACAAAGTTAGAGGGATTTACTGGAACATATTCCCATTAATCTTCTGCAGTTTTTCAGCTTCCTGATGTTTTCTTTAGGCCCTAAGTGCCCCTGTGGAAAGTCTCTACCTCTTATTTTAAGTAGAAAAAGAGAAAATGCCTTTTTTTTCTTTTTGAGAGCACAAATAAACAGGAAACTGTTTGTAAAAAGTTCTTATATGTTTTAGCCATACCTTTAGTACACAGTCCTATTTCCAGTGTAGCCTTCATAGATTCGAGCATCACTCCTTTCCTCTGTTTGTCTGTTTCCTGCTTCCAGGGGCTCTGTTAATTAGATTTTTTGGGTTTTTTTTCCACACAAACCAAAGGTAAAGTTGTAAATCTTAAAACTGCCTGTATTACTTTTCTACAGGAAATGAAACCTTTTACATTCTGCGTGTATTAAGCACTTAAACGTACAGAAGGCACTTTTTACAGTTCTTAGTTGCAGCACACAATTAGAAAAATATAGTTATAAACTCTTAAGGCCAAATTCTTCTCGTCTCACCATATTTTCCCCCAAACATTAGTGGAACCACTTGTGTAAAATGAAAATCACTTGGCCCTTATTTTTTTTCAATGCCGCACAAACATGTACCGTTTATTTGCACTACAGAATTAGGGTCATTAGATGTTTCTGTCACCTAAGCCATTAACCATGAATCTAGTACCGGGGTGGGGGGGAAGGGTGAAAAGAAAAATCAGGTGTAGACAAAGGTGTATGTAAAAGTTTATAATGACTTGCCAACTTAAATGGATTTTTTTTTCCTTTTCTATGCTTAAATAACTTATTTTTTACTGTAAACAGTATCGAATTTTAAAATACTTTTGCCAGTGTTTGGATTAACAGAGCAAAGGTAAAGCAATGAAAGCGTAACACCAAAAGTTGAAATACCAAACACCAGAACACACAGCAGTGTACTGTGCAGGGGACCGGAGATACATGCTAAAAAAGCCTATTGTCACCAGCTTTTAAAGCAATGTCAACTTTGTGAATATTTTTACTCCTTCTGCCAAAGTTTCTAGGTCAAATGGACCACGACCCTCGTCTGCGACAGATGTACAAAAGGAAGAATGAGACTTTCTAAACAAAAACAAACATAAAAACTAAACAAAAAGCTATCATGAACTAACCAGCTGTACCAAGAGGACCAAAACGCTTCAGTAATTAAAAGGAAGACTTTGCTACTTTTATTTTTTCTTCAAATGTGAGTGACATAATGAAGTAGTTTTTCTAAACCATAAAAATATAAACTTTTGAGGTAATGAGTAGTCTTGAGTGAATTTTACATTTTATGACGCAGGTTTCAAGTTGACATTTATAACTGATGATGTGTTGACCACAGGTGGTTTTTTTCCAGACTAAAGAATATAATTTTAATGTAAATGTGTTGATATTTATTTGAAATGAAACAAATGCCCAGGAAAAATAACTATGGCTTGTTCTCCTAGTTAGTATCTCTGCATACAGTTTGGCATGATGCAAAATGAAATGTGAATCTAGGCAAGACTTGATGGCCTGAGTAGAAAAAGGAAGGGCTGCTGCACTTCGGGAGAGCGCCCATCATCACGTACGGAATGCAGAGATAAAGTCCACAGGCCATATTGCTCAAAAGCGCAGAGCAAAATACCTTCCACCATTTCAGAGCATAAGAAAGGGATCAAACCCCTTGCTAGACAAGTGAGAAGACTGTACAGCTCCAGTAAAGAGGGGAAAAGGTAACACAGCATGGAGTTGGGGTGTTAAAGTACCTGTGAATCACGCTCGGGCTCTGTGCAGGCCTACACCTGTGCTGGGAAGATGAGCTGAGCTTCCTCAGTGCATGCTTTCAGCAGGGTCAATGAAAAGTAAGGTTTCTTATTTTAGTTGTGGTTTTTAGCTGTGTTCCACTCAATTGTTAAAAATCTGTTGGCAGATTCCAGTTCTCTAATTAGGAAAAATATTTATATATAAAGTTTATTTTGTCTTGCTAAAATTAAGTATTGTTTTCTTGAACATTAGGTAAAATTAAATATTGTTTCCTTGAACATTAACAAATTTCCAAAGTTTGCAACAAAAAATCACAAGGGATAGTGTCCCTAAAGGTGAACATTTCTTTTCCCTCAACTCTGTATTTTCTGCAGTAGAATGACAGAGCACCTGAAACCCTGGTTTTCTCCTCAGAAATAGCACAGAATAACATTTTAATGATTGATTTTTCTCAATGTTTTTCCTTTTAAGAGTTGCAGAATAGCAATAACCACCTTACTTAAAGCACTGAAAATAAGAGGAGAGATCAGTTGTTTCAGTTTTCAGTGGTGTCTGTTCAGAAATGAATAGAAATCCTAAATTTTGCTTTTTTATGTGGAATCATGGCATTGAAAACAAATAAACAACTGGGAAATGGCTGACTCCTGTCTAACAGCAGGATCAGCTTTTTAATCTTAGTTTAACCAGAGATGTCAGTAGGCTCCTTGGCAGGATTAGTTATGAGTCTTACCCTGAAAAACAGAAAGTTACGCTATCCTATGTGAAGTGGCTTCATTAGGAGAAAACCAGTCCTCTTTCCAAAGAGGACGTTGTATTATCTTAAGCAGCCATTAAAAAAAATTCAATATTTTTACTTGCCACCATACAGAGTTACTGAAAATATTTCTGTATATTTGCAATATCTCGTAACTCTGGTAATTGCATAGTGCGACAACTGCTGCTTCTTAATGATGTATACAACATTACAGATGCATAGGTGATTACTGAATTACTTTGATCCTTCTAGGAACCAAATCCAAACTTTACTGATTAAACTCTTCTGTAAAGTAACAATGGTGTAAGTATGCAATATTCCAGAAATCATAGAAACATGCGATGTGTTAGCATCGTAAGGGCATTCGGAAAGTCATGTTTTGAGTACGGCGCATTTAGGAGGAAAACTGTCAGGAGCAGGACACTTGGAAGTACTCAGATTTGGTCTATCCCACATCTCACGTGAGTTACCAGAATCCCTTTTTTTGTATGCTAGTACGTTGATCTGTAATATAATTTATCACTTGTAGAAATAGATTTCTAATTTAGGGCAGGTATTTAAGCATGGGAATAATTTTACTCTTGTAAATCATCACTTTGCCTTTCTGTGGACTTTTTACAAGAGTAATCATACATAATTGTTGCACTTAACCCTGGATCCTGCAAAGTACGTGGATTACTTGCGTGTCTGCGCCAAGCAAAGGGTATTTGGGGCGGGGCAGCCCTCGGCCCAGGCACGTTAGCAGGATCCTGTCAGGTCCCAAGTCTCTCTCACTAATACTGAGTTACAACCTCCGGACTGCCTGAAATTGCTGTGAAATAGCTCAGGGGATTTCTGTTCATCGCTACTAAAAGGGCACCATAATGTGTTTGGTACTTTTGTGCAGTAAACAGCTGCCAGGTTATCGAATTAGAACAAACACATGAAATGAATTGTTTATCCATTGTACTGTTGAGAAACTCGGTTATGTACCTTGAGGATGATTTTAAAGAAATTGTGATTTTTATTCTTAGTCATGTAAGAAATATTAGAGTGCCTTTTTATATTTGTGTATTATGGAAATGTTTTGTGAAACTCATCTTTTTCTTTTTTTTTTCATTTGAGTGTTATAAAAGCAATATATTACCAGTAAATTTTCATTTCAGACCTTCTTTGAATGTATAAAGTGTTTCTTCTTTTCGTTTGTTCTACCTGCATTGAAATGAAAATTAATATGCTAAATTTCTATAGGAATAATGTATAATTTTTGCAGTGCTGAAAATGCTTTCTTATTACACAAAAAGTAAACCTTAGGTCAGTGTTATAGGAAAGGGCGTTTTGAACTAGTGACAATCTGAGTGTGTGTATAAAATGTAATTTTATGCGTTTCTTATACAGTGATCTACATATTAAAGCCAATATCTTATGTTTTGTAGGTTTTGTCTTATATTTTATGCTTTAGCATGTGCAATATATCTTTACAAACCATGGTGATACGAATCTGGTGCCAGTGTTATATTTTGCATAACATTTGTAATAAACAATATAAAATATTGTTTGATGGTTTCAGTGGGGTTTTGTCGGTATTGTTTGCTTTTGTAAATTGAAGTTTAAGGACTTGGGTAAATGTCACATATGAAATGAGGAAAAAGACTGACTTCAGTGAATGACTTGGAATTCAACCTGAATCTTCTCAAGCACAGTTTAGTAACTTTTTCAACTACTGAATGCTGTATTAATGTAATGAAGAACCCTAACTGTAAACTACTATTGAAATGCATTCAGATGGTTATTTTTACAAATAAAAATGGTACAAATACTGTTGGAAAACTGAGTAAACTTTGTTTCTTTTAAAGGAGGAAAGGCTCATTTATTTAGCAGTGAAGAAGAAAATGCGACTGTATTTCTACCTTGTACTTCCCTCATACGTAGCTACCCGTTGTCTTAGTAAGTTGATGTATTGCTTCTCTGTAGATGAAAACAAAAGACTTTTTGTCAGTTATCAAATATTTTACTTACTTTTCACTGATGAGCAACACCAGCAATAGTGGGTTTGTCAAGCATCGGGGGCGGGGGGGATGACAAGGGGGGAACTGTCCCATAGAGACAGAAACCCAGTGATGAAAAGTGCCTAAATATAGTAAAAGACAGTAACTCGTTAGCGCTTAATTAAAACAAATAACCCCTCCAAAGTCAAAACACATCATCATCTTTGGGGTGACTAAACTGCTGACAGGCCGGTAACCTTAAAAGCACCTGAACGGTGGCCTTTGCAGATTTATTTTCGGCAAGGTGAACCGCAGCCAGACCCGTTCCTGGCGGCAGGCCCTCCGGGGTGCGGGGCGCGGCTCCGTCGGC